ATAGTAGATAGAAATTGAAAATGATTTCACTATCTGATAAAGATATGACACCCTATAACACAACAAGTTTATGGCTCATGAATGTTTAGAGCATCCCATTTATACAAGGCAGAAATGATTCTCTTTTTAAAGCAGCAGCTAAATATATGGGCATGAATGGTTCTCAGAAACATAGTTTTGAGTGTATTTGCTCCTATATAAAAGTATACAGAGCTAAGCAATACATTTTTTTGATCGTGTATACATGTGTAGCCAATTAAGGTTAATGGCTATATACAATATGGGAGGAAAAATGCATTGTAGAGAGCAATAGAGTCAGGTTTAAAGTTATTTGTGTTTGTGCACATGCACCAGTATGGGGTTTGAAATTAGGGCCTGGGCATTTCCCTTTAGCATTTTTGCTCAAGACTGATACTCTACCACTTGGGCCATATTTCCACTTCTGGTTTTTTGGTGGTTAATGGAGATAAGAGATTCACAGTTTTTCCTGCCTGGGCTGACCTTCAACCTTGACCTTCAGATCTCAGCCTTTTGAGTAGCTAGGCATGAACCACAAGTGCTCAGGACTTAAAAGTTATTGGTAGTGTTCTCTCTCTCTCTAAAGTTGGGTCTAGGTTTAACTGAACAAAGAATGAAAAGTAGCCTGGAAGCATGGCTCAGCTGGGGGAGCATCAGCTGTGATCAAGAAAATCAAGTGAGTTTAAGTCCTGGTACTAGCAGAGGAAAAAAAAATAAACAAGTAGAAACAGAAATTTGAGATAAATGAATAAATTACTCTTTAGAAAATAAGGAAGTAAAAGTAAAAGGCAGTATAGTAGGCCTAAAGCAACAATGAGTAGGGGAAGAGTATACGCTTTCCTAAGCTGAATGAACAACAGCAACAAAAATAGATGGCAGACAAAAGGATCGATACATAGCAGACTGCTGAAGAAATGAGATCTCTGCATGAGATGAGACATGGCAATTCAGAACACAAGGGAGGCATTTTTGTCAAACAGATGGTAAGACTGAGTAAAACCAGAATAAAGAAGGTAAAACATGTGAGGTACCAAGTCTGCCTTTGAATCCCTACAAAGTCTTAAGCTTAGTTCATTTAGCCCTTAATTGATTATTTTTTGTAAGATCTCCTTAGTAAACTTGAGTCATTTAGAGTCAAAGAATCCCCACCACAACTCTTACTTTTGCTATGTATATCCAGATCCTACAACTTTTCTTAACTCAATTTTGTTTTCAATTTCTTTCCATCTCTCCTGTGAACAGTCATTTGATAATTAACATTTCATACTTTTTGGTATATTTTCATTTTGTAAGAGAAGAAAAATAGTATCTTATGTATTATGTATTTTCTTTTCCTCTGGCCTTTCCAACTTGGAGGTAAATGTTAGGTCAAATTTCAGCTTTAAAACAGACAGAAGATAAAAGAAAGATAGCACTCAACTTATCCTTAAATATCATATACAAAAATTTCCAACCCAAGCTTTCTCCAAAGGCTGGCTTACATATTCTCATCAATAGTGGTTTCTTATAACAGGAAAGATTGTCTTCAAGTCCTTTCCTGAGCCTAGCCCTTTGGTGATGTCTTCCTTGGTTCACTGAAGCCTATGAAATCGCATAGGAGTCCCTTAACTCCCGTTGTCCTTTGTGGTCCCCTAGATCCTTCTGAAGAAGTTCTATTGAACTTTGTAGCCAACTTCTTTATGACATACTAGTTTCCCTTATATGTAGAGATGTGGAGAAAAGAGAGTGAGGTAACAAATGCACCCGCCTCCCCCCCCCCCCCCCCCCCCCCCCGCTAATTAGTCACTTGAGACATGAATTGCTTTCCCCTAGGCACTGGGGGAGAATGTATCAGAAAAAGAGTCTTCCTCCATTTGGGCATTCCCAGAAAAACCTAGGGTTGTGGTTATGATTATAACTGTTCCTTTGGGCTGCAGTTAAGATGAAGACATTAGGAACCAGGTCTCTGAAAGAGGTGGGTATGGGATGAAAAGACCTGCAGAGACTGATGAGGCTTTGAAAACGCAAGACTCCGTGGAAAGACAAGAGCTCAGGGAATCAGAACTTTGTTGAGTTAGTGTCTTAAGATTAGAGCGAGTCATAATATTAGGAGAAATTATTACATGTTATCTTGGCCACTAGCTCTATGACTTTTCTTGCCTCTACTAATATCTGGGTTAAATTTGAATCTAGGATGCTTATGTTTTGCATACTGGAATCAGGAAAGGCTGCTAAGATTAAAGGAATCTGAGCTAGTGGTGATTACTGATTAAGATTCTGGGCTATTCATTCCCTCAGAAAATGTTGGAGTTTTGTTAGATAGTAGATATAATTTTGTTGCTAAGTATATCAGGAATACATTCCCATTTGCATGCCTTTTCTCTCTGAGATAGATAAATCCATAAAAATCTTTCCAAGTTCTCCTTTTTCCAAGTTGCACTATTCAGTTCTGATACATACAAATGATAGAGCAGAATACTAGTAGCTGGCTTTCCTATTTCCTAACAGTCTTTGAAAAAGGAAAAACAAACTGTGAAGACTATCACTTTCTGTCACACATAAAAACAAATTCATTGGGAAAGATGGAGGAGAATGATGAAAAAGGAGACAGTGATCAAACTACATTGTACTCCTAATCTGGCTTGTGGAATTGAAGCCCTTTTGTAAACCTACATAGAGGTATTTTTGGAAGTATATTAGAAATAATGAATTCAAATGATACAGAGATGTCAAGATTATTTTTGAATTATCACATGAATTCATACTTGAATTCATAATTGAATTGAAAGCCTTTAAAAAACCTAATCCTACCTATAAACACTTTTTAGCATTTTTTAGACAGAAAATTGACTACTGTTCATTGAAAAAATATTACTACATACCTGTATGAAAGTGAGCTGGAGTGAGATTATTTTGGAAACAGTGAGTTCAGTAAGAAATAATCACAGTGTAAATTACTTTGCCTTGTGAACCTCTATTTTCAAAGTAAAATTTTTCTTACAAAAACACATTGAGGGGGCCAGGAAGGTAGCTCCATGGTAGAGTGCTTGCCTCGCACTTCATGAGGCCCTGGGTTCGATTCCTCAGCTCCACATAAGCAGAAAAAGCTGGAAGTGGCGCTATATGGCTCAAGTGGTAGAGCTCTAGCCTTGAGCTGAAGAGCTGAGGGACGGTGCCCAGGCTCAGAGTTCAGGCCCCATGACTGACAAAAACAAAAACAAAAACAAACACACACACATACACACACAATGAGGATTTTGTCTCTTTCTTCCTGTTTAAAAACAAGATTAATATTTTCCCATATGCATAGAAGTCTTTGATTCCTTTGCTCCACATTGAATTCCCTTTGTATATAGCAGGTTTTATTATAGTTTCAAATAATGGCACATGTTTATTTTATCTATAACTTACTCTTCTTGGTAAATATCAGTAGTTTTCTCCACTTAGAGTTCCCATCTCCAGTAACTTCACTAATAAGAAGTTTAATGCAAGACTCAGGATTCTGTCATGCAAAAATTTATTAGCAAACAGACACAAAAATACTATTGAACCCATTTTTGGAAGCTCATGGAAATCCCAACTGCCTACTTTTTAGGCTTTTTTGATGACCAGAATGAATAAAAGTTTCTGTCAAAGACAAAATCCTTATAGAGAAAGAAGACAGAATCTTTATAGATAGAAAAGCCAAGTTTCTAGTAAAATCAGGGGATGAATCCCCTGTTAAGGGAGGAATACAGGAATGAATGAGCCATCTGTCTATGCTTTCATCCATGCTTTTTAGGCTTGTTTGGTTAGTCATATCTTAATACTCTTCAAACAAGGGGCTAGCTATATTTCTATATGTATCTTAATCTTATGTTCTTTCATCAACTACTGTTTTGTATATGCTGATAGTTCTCAACTGCCATGATTTTCTACTCACTTCATCTCTTTTGGGGACATTTGGTAATTTGCAAAACCATTTTGGTTGTCCTGGACTGGGGGGTGTTGAGCTGCTGACCTCTAGCAAGCTGAAATGAAGGGTACTCCTCATCATTCTGCATCACACAGAACAGTCTTCTCTCCAGCAAAGATTTATCTGGTCTGAAGTATCAATACTCCAGACTTAAGAGAACCTGTTTTATGCTATTTAATGAACTTTAGTGTATAGAGGCAGATAAGGATATTTGAAATTCTTGCCAAACTTACCTCTGGCTGTGGACAGCTGATTAAAGTCTTTTGGATGTCACCATAATACTCTTAGAATGTGATTTTAAGATTGGTATACTTCAACTATTCAGTAACCTCAATTACAATTCAAATTAGATTAACTTGTGCTCACAGATATATCACAGGGTTCCAAATGGTTGTGTTTTAAGTAAATTCTACTCAGTCTAATATCTGTCTTGCTCATTTTACTGAATTATCAATCAGGAGGGGACCAAAGGGAAATTGATTTTTGTGTTACATTTTCTAAATTGCAAAATTGGCCTTTATGCTAAATTTCTAAGTTGCTTACTTGAAAATGGCCTTGTGCTTAACCATAGAGGAGGTTCATTTTGTCATTTTGTGTCTCTAATATCACATTTCAAAAAATAAGTATGTCTACTTACATTGTTTCTAATTTACTATTACAATGAATATCCCAATTGAATACCTTTGTGCATTATTTTTATATTTTTTTTCTTAGACTGCACAGTGAAAGGCAGGTTCTAAACAGTTTTAAAGCTCTCCATAAAAATCACCGTATTGCTGTTCAGGAGTATATGTAACAAGTTATGACACTCTGTTTCCTCATTTAACAGGCTAGTCTATAATAATATAAAGTATACTTTACTGAAAACCTTTTGCAAATTTGACAAGGTAAGTTATAATTTGCAAAGCAATTCATTTCATTTTTTAAAAATCAATCTAATTTTGCACCATTCAGTTACTGAAAAAAATGTTTGTATTTGTTCATTGAATAGACCTATAATTTTTATTGTATTTCATTCCATTAACTGATAAGGAAGATTATTGAAAATATGGACCAGGAAAACCAGACAACAGTGACTGAATTTTTTTTCTCTGACTTCCCTCAATTTGAGAACAGCAGCCTCTTGCTCTTCATTCCTCTGCTTTTCATTTACATGTTCATTGTTGTGGGAAATTCTCTGATCTTCTTTGCTGTCCAGCTGGACTCCAGACTTCACAACCCCATGTACAGTTTCATCAGCATGTTCTCCTTTCTGGAGATTTGGTACACCACGGTGACCATTCCCAAAATGCTCTCCAACCTGGTCAGTGAACGGAAGGCCATCTCTTTCATTGGTTGCCTACTGCAGATGTATTTTTTCCATTCACTTGGGGTCACAGAAGCCTTAGTCCTCACAGTGATGGCCATTGACCGATACATAGCCATCTGTAACCCCCTTCGCTATGCAGTCATTATGACCCCTCGGCTGTGCATCCAGCTGTCCACCAGCTCTTGCATTTTTGGCTTCCTTGTGTTATTGCCAGAGATTGTGTGGATTTCTACTCTTCCCTTCTGTGGCCCTAACCAAATCCACCAACTCTTCTGTGACTTTGAACCAGTACTGCACTTGGCCTGTACAGACACATCCATGATTCTAGTTGAAGACGTGATCCATGCCATCTCAATTCTGACCTCCATCTCTATTATCACCCTTTCCTATCTAAGAATCATCACTGTGATCCTGAGGATTCCCTCTGGTGAAAGCCGTCAGAAGGCCTTCTCCACTTGTGCAGCTCATATCACTATTTTCTTGTTATTTTTTGGCAGTGTGTCACTCATGTACCTACGCTTCTCTGTCACTTTCCAACCACTTCTGGACAAAGCTATTGCATTGATGTTTGCTGTCCTTGCTCCATTTTTTAACCCAATAATCTATAGTCTGAGGAACAAAGACATGAAAGATGCCATTAAGAAGATTTTCTTTTCTCCAAAGACATTGGATGTCTCTGGGAGTTAGTGAGAGTTCACTTGTATCTGTCCCAAGATCTCCACAAGCTTCAAATCCTAACAAATCAGTTCCTATCACTAGTGTGTATGCTTGTATTCAGGCTGCTGATGGGATGTTCTTTATTTCTAATCTCAGAACTAATATTTATTCTAATAGAGGAAGTTTGTATTACATTATTCACAGGATGGCAAAGAAATATTTTCTCTACTTTGCAATTTTAATTAATGTGGTACCGCCTTTCCTTCACCAATCAAGAATCCATAATCACGATATAATCTGTACTTTTAAAATATTGTCTTTGTGTAATATTTCATATTATATTCACAATACATTTTTATTGGTTATTTTTCCTCTAAAACAGATTAACCAGACACATACAGCAATTAGGTGATTCTTGACTTGAGACAGAAGCCTGATTTCCTAAAGTTCAGTCCAGAGGTGTTTACGATCCCTTTCCCAAAGTTTGCCTTCTGAACATTACAATGATCGTGTGGTACATACGCACACTGACTCTGTGATGCTTGCATCCTGCTGTTGTTTTCAATTCTGTTTTGAGTTTATTTTACATTCTCTTGAAGATATAAGCACAAACATTTTTAGTATCTTGAAGATCAAATAGTCTTGGATCCAAAACATAAGTATATAACTCAAGCAAAGGTATGTAATTATAATTTAGTCTTTTTAAAATGATATCAGTGACAGCAAAATGTTCTGTGTCACCATGTTATGTCATTTTATATAATATGAAAATTCCATGGCAATTTCACACCTCACTGTCTTTATTCTTATTGTTTTTTTGCTTTGAAATGTGCCTCTTTCCTTCTTCTCTGATTCAGAACTTACCCTTACTCATTAAAATGTTTACACACAATCATTATGGAATGAATGTGCCTACCTCCCACCTACAAAATTATACTAGTAGCTTTTTCCAGGGACTGAGTAAATTTTCCACAAAAAGTGATTCTGCCTAGCTGTTAGGGAGAGAAAAGCAAGAACACAGCATAATCTGGACCCCAAATAGCTTTCATCAGTCAAGCGTATAAACCTTGGGATCCTGGGAAATGTTATTACATGACAATCACAGGGAGATAGCACTTCAGTACAACTGCAGTCATTTTAGGGGCTATACATAAGAACTACATTCTTAAATGGATAGGGAACTAAGAGCAGGGGGGGTGAAAGGTATGTATAATTAAAAGAATTTCAGTCACAAATCGGGCCTACCTAGTTGATCATTATCTCAGTCTTTCTTTGGGGACAGGTCTCAGAGAAGTTATTATCATTGTCATCACTAATCAGGATAGAGAAGTCATCATTGCCTGATGGATAGTCTATTCCAAGCAAGAAATTCCCAACCTTCATGTACCTAATACTTTAGAAAGAGGGGAAAGGGTATTTTAAACACATATTAAAATAGGCAAAAATAAAAGATGAATCATTAAATGAAACTAGGTGTTCTGTGGAAAGCAGAAAAGAAAATACAATAGAATATTAGGAAACCATAATTTAAAATAGATTCATCAAGTTAAATTTAAAAACCATATTTGATCCTAGCATTGATGGCACATGCCTGTAATCCTAGCTACTTAGGAGACTAAGATCTGAGGGTTGAGGTTTGAAGGCAACCTGTACAGGAAAGTCTTATCTTCAATTAATCACCAAAAATTCCAGAAGTGGAGCTGTGACTCAAGAAGTAATATTTGTAACAATGAGCAAAAAAGCTCAAAAACAATGCTCAGGCCTGAGTTCAAGCTTCAAGACTGACAGCAAAAACAAACAAAACAAAGAGAGAAAAGAAGAGAGAGGGGGAGGCATGTAGGGAGGAAAAAGAGAGAGAGAGAAAAAAGTCAGATTTGTGCCAAAAAAATGGATAGCCATATGAAATATGGAGGGAAAATGATTCAAGCAGCTGTAAAAGCTGTTTAAGGAATCAAGTAGTTTTTGTGCCTGAAATGAAGAGGGGTATGGAAAATGAGAACATGAGCTCAAGGCAATAAAAGGGAGATGTATCATAGAGCCATGAGGGCCTTGGTAAGATTTAGACTTTTCTAATCTATTCTGAGAATGAAACCTTTGGAGAATGTGGACCATAGGAGAGACATAATCTGGTTTAAAGTTTGTCAGAATCATACCTGCTTCTGTGTTGAAAAGTCAACAAAGGAAGTTCCAGGGGAAGCTGGAGTCCTAATAGAGCTATTGCAAAAATCTGGTAAGAGATGAAGGCAATTTGAATCTAGATGGTGGCAACAGAGATGGAGAAATGTGGTTGAGTTCTAATCATAGTTTGACAACAAAGCCCAACAGAATCTCCTGATAGACTGAAAAGAGAGTATAAAAGATAAAGGGGAATCAACTAAGGTGAAGGACCTGCCATTGATGGAGACAGAGAGCACTGTTAAGAGGAAGGATGGTAAAATTTAGTGTTTCATATTTCAGTTTAAGTAGACTATTAAACACTGAATACTGAGCTGCTTCTTATATAGATGAGTTAAATACTGAGGAGTCAAGGCTGGAATAAAGTATGTATAAATCATGAGCATATATTATACATTGAAGCCATGAGACTGGGTGAGACTACCAAGGGTCTGAGTTTTGGGGTGTAACATTATGGTGGATTTGGGGGAAACAGGAGGAATCAGAAAATGTAACTCAGAGGAATAAACAATAAGACACAAAGAAAAGCAAATGCCCCCCAAATCATGCCAAAATATATATTTCAATGAAGTCCAACTTTGTCAGATTTTTCTATTGATCCAGAAAGAACTAAAAATTGACTACTGGTCATTATAACCTTGAGAAAGAGAAGTCTGTAGGAAGGGATGATGGCAAACGCCTCATTGGAGAAGTTAAATAGGAGATAAAGAAAAATTGGAAACTTCAAGAATGTCTCTTTAATGGAATTTAAAAAGCTAACTAGAGAAGTAAAGTAATATAGATTAAGTAGAATCTCTAAAGTGTTTTGTTGATTATGACTCAAAGATTAAATTCTAAATCACAATTAAGAATGGAGATACATATGTTTATACATTCACATTTCTATTTATAACAGGAAAACTTTTTTTGTCGGTCATGGGGCCAAACTCTGGGGCCTGGTGTCCCTGAGCTCTTCAGCTCAAGGCTAGGGATCTACCACTTGAGCTACAGCACCCCTTACAGCTTTTTCTGCTTATGTGGTGCTGAGGAATTGAACTCACGGCCTCATGCATGCAAGGCAAGTACTCTACCACTGAGCCACCTTCCCAGCCCCATGGAAAACATTTTACAAGATAATTCTTCCTTCTTTTCTTTATATCTTCTGTAGGAAAATTCAGTAAGCCTTGAAATACTTAAACTACCCAATTTAAGTCCCCAGTTCTGTTGAATACAATTCTTTCTAGGAATGTCTGTTCAGATAACCTCTGGACTTTGAGCTAAAATATCAAAGCCCACACATCACTAAAACTCTTGGCATTTTAAACACCAAGGTAAACAAATGAGAAAATTAAGTTTAAAAAAGATTTCCATTAATTAAGCCACGGGGAAACAGAGTTGTTATTTTCCCTAGCTATCAGGGGAGAAAGACATTAGTAGAGACAGCTCTCCCAAGAAACCTGTAAGCCTTTCCAACTGAACCCAAACACTTATACTGCATAAACCCAGGAAAGGGAGGGGACCTCATTGTCTCTGCTAAAGGTAAGACAATTTACCCAGATCCAAGTGCAGCCTTGTCATGTGTCTAGGAGACACATTAGCTACCATTACCTTAACTGAAACTAGTGTTTAGAGACATAGTTGAGAGTGCATGAATGGCCAAATGGAATTTGGCTTCAAGAGGAGGAGAATTACTTGTAGGTTTAAAAATCAGTGATAATATTACATTTGTAATGGTATAGCAGATGGGATGGTAAATTCTTGTTTATTGATATACATCCTCAGAGTTGCTCAAATTAAATTAATCCAGAAGGATACCATTTCACATACTGGTGTTTAAGTCCCAGCCAAATCAGTAAGATCATTCCTGTAATAACGAGGGGATGAATTACTTCCTAAGATACAGACCCAAACAAAAATAATCTCCATACCTAAAACTGATCGTATATATGCTTTCCTTTTATTCCAGTAGGATTGGATCAGTTCATGCCTCTTCCTCCAGGGTCTAACAGCTAATTTTTAATTAGGATATGTTGGAATTTTGCTAAAACACAGGTACCTCAATTTAAAAAAAAATCTTAATTTCAATCAACCACTTTGAAGAAATAACAAAAAATAACAACAACAAAAATATCAGGAACACAATATAACAATAATTTTCTTAGAAATGACTCGCAGATGTCTCTATATTGATCTGCAGTGATGTAAGTCTTTGTGGCTTCTTAATCTCTTCTTATATGCATTTCAGGAACTCCATAGAGTTGAAAGGGAGAGAGTGTGGTTTGACTGGTAGGGGACAGCCTACTAGTGACAAAGAGCCAAAAAGAAAAGGTGCTGCATCATAACAGAACTCAGTAGGTCAGACTTTGAGATGCCATGACAAAAATTGGGCTTAAACTCAGTTTACCAAGCTGGGTATAGGTATGAATCCTAAAGGATTCCTAAAGATGTCCGATAGCATATTTGGGTCACTCCTTCCTTTAGATGCCATATGAACCTTTTTTTTACCTGCCTGGCTCCTTAGGGCTTCCTGTGCAACTTCCCTGTCTGTCATGAGATTGCTTCAATTCTGAAATGCCTCCAGGTCAGTTCACTCACCAGAGTTGTGCTCCTCTTAGAGTTGTGCCATGTGAAGTCCCCTGAGAGAAGTTAACAATCTCAAAGCACCCGAACAGACATGCATGGATTTGGTAGTCAAGTTTACAAAGCCCTACATCAGCCTCCCTTCAAGATGATCATCAGTCTTTGAGTTTCCAGTTCAGTCCTACTAATTTAGTCTAGTCCATTATTATGATAAACTTCATAAAAGTGGAGCATCTTCTTCACTACTGAAATGAACAAACTCACATCTGAGAGCTAAGTATGAAATAGGCACTAAA